CTTTTGAAACACATCAGACATTTATTTGTTTTTTATCAGAGTTCATTGGCCATGGTAGGGGTTAACCAGGCAGAAGAGGGCAAGATTGCCCTGCAGATGTGAAAGCCCCAGGGTTGTCTCCAGTATCTGAAGGGCCCTTTCTGCAGGAGAAGTCCGGCCTATTCTGCGTGACCATGGAGACACATTTCAGTCAAGCGTCAGTGTCACGCAGAGATGGAATGGGTGGTGTGCCACCTCTGGAGCATCAGTCTGTGAAGAGCAGACTATTAGGCACGTCCTTGCACCTGATCCCATTTAAAGTCTCTTCAGACTCTGAGGTTTTGTGATTTTTATGTTGATTCAGTGTCATGAGCATGCACAGCTTTGTCCTTCGGCAAAGGTTCTTTGAGTTTGCACTGTTTGCTAGGCCCTGGGCTGGGAGGTTAATCTCTCCAGGCCTGCAGGAGCTCTCTGTCTGGTGGAGAGTCAGGAACACAGTGTGCAACGTGCTAGGACAGGTAAGAGGCGGCAACGTGAGGACACGAGACAGAGCATGGACTCTGGAGCCCGACTACCTGGATCGAGTCCCTGTCCTCTACTTGCCAGCTACGTAGCACATTATTTCCCCTTTCCATGCCTCAGTTTCCTCATCTGTAAAGTGAGGATAATGAGAGTTCCTATTTCATAGGGTCGGTAAAGGATTAAGTAAACTGACATGTATGAAACACGTAGAATAGTGCCTGGCACATAGTAGTCACTGTGTGCATGTTTGTTAAATAAAGTGAATTAGAGAGAATTTATGGCACGATGATATGGAAGATAGAGGACAAGAAGCTGATCCAACCTGGGAGGCTCTAAGGAAGTTCATCTGAGCTTCGTCCTTGACGGATGAGTAGGAATTGGCCAAGAAGGAAGCTGGGAAGGGCATTCCTGGCCGGTGGAGGTGGGAATGCAAAGGCAGAGTGAGAGAAGGATGGGGCTAGTCACCTGCGTGTAGCTGTGAAAGTGGACAAAGGCCAGGGCCACCTCCAACACCACATTGTATCTTGAAGGTGCGGGGAGCCGCTGAAGCACGGAAGACACCACCAGATTTGTGTCTTAGGAAGACCACAGTTCGGTACAGCGTTTGCCAAAGCGTGGTCCCCTGAGCACCTTGATCAGAGTGGCCCAGGAGCTTGTTAGGATGAATGCTCAGGGAAAAAAAGAGAGAGCACAGTTTGAATCCCTCACTACAGACTTGGAATCTTGGTGTGAGTGGGACCCAGAAATCTGCATTTTTAATAATCCCCCTGGGTGAGTCTAATGAACACTAATTTGGGTGCTACTGTCGGTGGGTGGGTGATACTGGAGGCTACTTGGAGGCGTGTAGGAGTCTCAAGTAGTTCAGTGGACGCTTCCGTCACCCATCTGTTCATGCATTCGTTCTCATAATCTCATGTCCATCTGGGATATGTGTGCCAGAGGCTGAAGGAAATGCCCAGGACATAGACTGGAAGTCACCATGCAGGGCTGATGGCTCCCTGGATCTGGAAGGGGAGGCCTCAGGAGAGCACTCAGAGCAAGAGAAGCAGGACAAGGGCCAGACAGCTGGAGGAGCTGGGGCAGAGCAGGAGGGAGAGCTCAGGGGAATCAGTGGGGTACATTGGGGTCACCAGAGGTACCAAAGGCCCAAGTGGGTGGGGTGTGAATGGGTGTGGTTTCCTGCCAGAGGGTGGATTTCAGGGGCTGAGCCTAAGAGACACCCTGTTTGGGGACTTGGTATCCACAGTTTATGAAGCCGTGGCTTGGGGAGACCAGGTCTCCCAGGAGCATGTGGAAACTGCTCCAGACCGACAGCCTGTAGGTTTGTTTTGTTTGGCCCAACCTGTGTTTTCACATTTTAAAATTTATTTACCAATGTTTTAAGACTCGACAATTTCACATAAACTTCCAACCCCTCTTTTAAAAACCAGGCTGTCCAACAAGCTGAGGCCCACAGTCCCTGAGCAGGTGGGTGGGGATGCCCCTTTAGGGACAGTGTGAGCTCTCTCTTCCTCCACAGTCCCCACCCTCTGAGCCCTGTCAGCTCTGGATTTTGTGCCCGGTGGTGCAGATGGAGGGAAAAGAGGAAATCTGGGCAGACAGAGAAAGAGAGGCCATAAAGGAGACAGAACAACAGCAGAGAGGTGGGGCCCTGAGCCAAGGGAGGCAGGCAAGTACCCTAAGTTCTCAGGTGGGCAGCTGAGGAGCCCCAGCTTACCCAGCTGTGTGCGTGCGTGCGTGTGTGTGTGTGTGTGTGTGCTCGCGCGCCTTTGTGTAGTCAGCCGTATTGATAAGAAGGGGAATCTCCCATTTAGAGAAGAGGAAACTAGCAGGGTTAGTTAGAAAGTGTTAGTAAAAGTTGTCAGTGAATTAAGGAGAATATCTGCAGATCACCAAGGCTATATGAAGAGAGACAAATTAGGAGAGAAAGCTCCAGGATGTGTTTACATGGCAGTAACCACTGAGTGGGTGAGCCAAGGACACGTGGGAGTCTGCCCAGGTGGAGTTGCATCACTAAGCTAACTAGCTCGGGACCCCCCTCCTTGTTGTCTAGGCAATAAAGCTCCTGTTCCAAGCTGATGACATTTTAAAAAGAGAGAGAGAGAAAGTCCATCTTAGAGTAAATTAAGTGGTAATGGAAGGTGGAGGAGCCCTGTGATCTTGACAGCAGCCCCACCTTGAGGGAAGGGTTTGGATGGGGCTGTTCGTGAAATTTATCAGGAATGAGGGCTTGAGGGCAGTACCTTTTTTTTTTTTTTAATTATTGGTTTCGAGTGTACAGCTTGGTGGTTAGGCAAACAGATACTTTACATAGCATTCCCCTCTAAATTTCCAGTACCCCAACTGGCACTATGCATAGTTATCGC